GAATTGAATTGAAGTATGTATTGATCATGTGTCAGGTGTATGTCGAATGTAACAGTCTGAACTTATATATTTATATATACCCTCTATATTTATCTTATACATTTATATATACTCTTTATATTTATTCTTTAGGGGCAGCCTTATGTTCCCATTCTATAAAATGTTTAGCTAATATAACATCAATGGGTGGCTGCCCCATTACACATTTTGAGTTAACTATATATTAAATTGTATTTCGTCATTGAATAAAATGACAATTTCCATCCAGTCCGGTGTTTGCTTTCTTTGTTTCGTCTTGTACTCGCCTCCTGCGACATAAACCTACATTGTGTGTACGTTTGTTTTTGTTGATTGACCTTGCTAGTTACGAGCATGCGCAGTTCAAACTACGAATTACTTATTGGTAACTTGTGCTAGTCACTGTGGGTGCGCTGAACTGCGGAGATCCTTATTCATAACCTTTGTGCCCGGTTCTATTCCATTGCTACTCTTCTTCCATTTCAGCTGGATGGTTGAAGTGCAAGTTTTAGTAGCACACCGTCTTTCAAATAATACGTTTTGTCGTTGATCCCGTAGCGATATGGCTCATGAACGTTAGAAAGAGAGCAAAAAAAATTATAAGTATTTTGTACATAGTAGACTCTAAAATCGATTAAATAAACCTTTGAAACCCCTAAATTGTCAAAATTTTCGGGGGCTTCTCCCCCTAGACCACTTTTGAGGCATTTGAAGAAAATTCTGGCGCCACCTCTGTCACTCAATAAGTTAAGTTCACAATCTGTCCGCCTGTATAATATATATAAAAAGTTTTTGAAGAACGGTTGGGCATATAAATATTAATGTTTACAGTCTTAAATAGATAGGTATATGCCATACAGTAGAAGAGCATCGTCACAGCGGCTCTATCGAGATCAGGCTAGGCTATGATAATATGATAGGCTATGAAAATAATAATAGCAGCAACATCATTGATAACAGCAGCCACGGTCTAAGATGACAGATAACTCATCGCCAAAATGTAAACACGAAGCACTAACTACAAATCCATCGGTTAGAGCATGCGCAAATTAGCTTTTTCCTTGCGTTGCGGCGCTTGCGTTGCGAAAAGTTTAATTGATTCCACTTTACGCAATCAACGCAAAGACGATCCACAAACAAGGCAAAAGTTGAGATTTAGCGTCGATGATGCGTTGCGTTGCCATGTTTGCGTCGTCGGTTCCCACTTGGAAGTCGCAAAACCCTCGCGTTGCGTCAATTTGCGTCGATACGTTGTGTTTGCGTCGTTGCGTTGCGTCCTAGTGGGAACCGAACTAAAAAGTCGGGCACTCACTACGAATCCAACTCGTCTGCTGATTGTCGGTAGCAGTCTGCTGCGCACGCGTCGTGGCGCTGTGTGCTACATAGATAGAATCGCGTCGGCCGACGACCGTCGGGCAAAGTGAGTACCCCCCGTCTTTAGTATACAAATTGTGTAGAAACGCTCGATCGATGATTACGCCAACTACTGACTATTACCAGGCTTATAGGCCTATAAAATGAAAAACCGCAAGCCCAATATTGCTTATAGGCCTTAGGCTAGGCCTACTCTGTTAGGGTTGTTGTACACTTAGTGCACATTACGGTTTATTCACACAACAATCTATCTTTTGATCTATGCATTAGTCTTCTCTTTAAACATATCTTTACATTCCTGTATGCTCTTATACAAACAATGAAAATGCTTGATGGATTATCACTAACTTTTCATCGAAATTTGACATCATCGAGCGAGAAAATGAAGTGTAATGATCGTCAAAGAGAAGAGAAGAAAAAGAGAAGATAAGTTTAGTGAATTAAGCGCCGACAATTCGGGAAGGTTGAAACTGGTTCAACGTTGCAGATGGCGTCGGCGACGAATCGGGGAGTCTTCCCGATTGCGTTGGGGACAGTACGTAGTGTAGTGATTGCTGTAGCAATGTTATGGAAACCAAGCTTAACACGATATCAATGTAATGCCGGTTACTGTCACCTTACTTAACTAAATATATAGTGTTATTCGACAAAGGTCTAATACTGACTGTGTTTGATCTGACTCTACCATCACCCTGATTTCAGATATGGTCTAATGCGTTGCGTCGAATCCTCGCTTATTTAGGATATTAATCGATCATTAGCGTAACATGATACTAATTTGAACGGCATTACGACGGCAAAATATTACAGAGTGGGACGATTGAGTTGACATGTGCTCTATGACTCCTGTCTATAGCTCCACACTATGTGTGAACATTTCAGTCAGTTGTATGAAAGTCTCTGGGGGTTAAATCTGCACTTATATCCTATAGGTCTTCGTGGTCTAATGAATATGACACTCATCCTGATAGCGAGAGGTTGCAGGTTAGAATACCACCAGAAACACTTTTTTTTCATACAACTGATTAAAAGGAACTTTTTTTCTTTGAAGGGCTATGCCGTAGGGTAATAACAATAATGATGACGGTAGTGACAATGATAATAATGGTAATAATCAATTGCCTATCTGATAATTTATGTAGGAAAAGATCTTTAATTCGTAAAATATTTTATATCGGTGTCTTAAGGATTGAATTATTTCTTTTGGTAATTTGCCATTATTATTATTATTATTATTATTATTATTATTATTATTATTATTATTATTATTATTATTATTATTATTATCATCATCATCATCATCATCATCATCAACATTATCATCATCATCATCATCATCATTATCATTATTATTATTATTATTATTATTACTACTTAGGAAGTGTCGTGTCATAAGTTATTTTAGAAACCCTAGTTGTATTGATCTAATGAGATTGATAGGTTATGCACTTTAAATTTTATGAATGTGAGGTCTGGGCCTATGGTATACGATTCTCTAGCTTGGCAAATCAATTGTGTAGGGTGATTTTATAAAGCGTATGATTACCGTATGGACTGAGCATAAACGGATGTCACTCAATTAGCTGGTAATTTAATATGAATAACATAATACAGGTCTCCCTCCCATTAAAGACCACTTTGGGGGCCTATTTTTGATGGTCTTTAATTGATGTATGGTCTTTATTTAGAGGAGTCCTTAATTAGAGGGTGACTTGTACACACACACATACAACAATTTAACATGAAATTGCTAATAGCAAAAATGCTAGAAACGAAACTTGAAGCCCCATTTCCTGCAAAATTTCATTTTTTTAAAAGAAAAATCCGATTTGTATATATATTAATAATATAATACGAAATTGCTAATTAAACCTTTAACATTCCTAAACATGAAAAAATGCAAAATAAGACTCTAATTTGATTTTTTTTTTGTTCCACACAAAAAATAAACGCTGTTGAATTTTGTTTATGTTTGATTTTGCGATAAGTCTAATATATTGGTGAAAAAATATAATAAGCGTCGGAATCATTAGATTAGCAACACTTCTGGGATAGGCCTAACCTAATCTGGATTTAGGTTCTGTTATCAGACATAAAAACGGCCGACATGATATTTTTTCGTTGCGAGGTACAATACTAGTTTGCTCACAGACATGTGTAGGAAAGGTATTGTTCAAAGGGGAAGGGAAGGTACAGAACGACAGCTAGAAGAAGACCTTAGCTTAATTCGTAATACTTTATATCAATGTCTTAAGAATTAAATTATTTCTTTTGGTAATATGTCATTATGAAATTTTTTATTCGTTAGCAATTGTCAGAATAAACAAAAATAACAAGTGGTTGAGGTATTAGAGTTTTTATTAATTTTTACGTCCAGTAGCAACTTATCATTATATCATTTTAAGTATTTCTTCGTTTTTTTTTTAATTATGAGAAATTATGATTAGTAAATGTAGTGGTTGTTGTTAGTGGTATGTTTTGTTATCATTGTTATAAAAGATTACTTGTGTTGAGCTCTTATCGAATTTTTTACCTGTACATTTGTTTTTCTGATTATGAAATCGCGTATATAACTGAAAATATCGATTCATATAAGATGAATTCATATACCCAGATTCATTTTCACTCAAAAAAAAATATATATAAGCCTATATATATAT